TAACATAAAAACATCTACTGTCCAATTACCTGGATGCGATCCATGAACACGACAGACGAAAGCAATAGCGTGATCATTATCATGAAATCTTATAAACATTATAATATACCACTTATCATACCTTTACATTTCAATCATTAAACAACATATTTTCCTCTTTAACCAGCGTACTAGTATCCACGGGGATCCATAGAGGTCCCGTTCCCCGTGAACCCTTAATATTTATAACATGATTCTAGGGCCGTTCCCATACCCTTCTGGTATGGGTGCCAAAACCATGAACCTCAATACCCCGTCCGGTATGAGGGTGAAACGGGCCGTCCCCATACCCCATCTGGTATGGGCGCCAAAACACATAAGGTCTCCATACCCCATTCGGTATGAGAGACCACCTTCCCGGTAGGGTTCCTTATGGACCCGGTCTGTCCACCATCTTTCAGGATATCTAGTCAGGCTGTCCACATTGTAACAGCCCCGGTAATTCGTAATGGAATTTATATTATAAATATCAAATGCGGAAGCGAATTCAAAATTTGAATAATATCCCTTACACTAAAACCAAAACGTGCTCACAAAATATAAAAGATTAAACTACCTAAAGGAGAAACTTGAAAGTAAAAACTACGAATGTGACTATGGAGTCCTTAGGCGTCCCTTCGTCGTCCTCCTGCGGAACCGGCTCGGGAACCGATGTCCTCTTGATCTGAAATGATTAAATAAGGAATGAGCTACACTAGCCCCAGTAAAGACATCACGATATCTCACCCGTCACGGAGGTAAAGGTGGGTAGAAAACACAAAAAGACCAATGGAGCATAATTTACAAACAAATCCTTTTATTAATAATAAAACATTTATCATTCACTTACCTCGGTGAAATTCATAAAACAATATACGAAAGCAATAACATCATCATCATCATGAAAATATATATATATGAACTGTATAACATAATACCTATCACACTCTTCGTAATTCAATAGTTTCACAACATATTTTCCTAATTCACCAGCCCACTAGTATCCATGGGGATCCATAGGGGTCCCGCTACCCGTTAATCCTTAACACTTGAGATCATATTCCAGGGCCGTCCCTATACTCCGTCCGGTATGGGCGCCAAACCATAGACCTCATTACCCCGTCCGGTATGAGGGTGAAACGGGCCGTCCCCATACCCCGTCCGGTATGGGCGCCAAACACATAGATCTCCATACCCCGTCCGGTATGGGAGACCACAATCCCGGTAGGGTTCCCTACGGACCCGGTCCGTCCACCATCTCCCAG